CTGTGGCCATCCAGAGATTGCTAAATTACAATTTCCAATATCCCATGTAGGTGTGGCCAAAAGTGAGAGATACTGAATTGTAATTATGCAACAATTGCAGTATCTTAAATTACACTAAGCCAAAATCAAATAAATTACATTATGGCATGCTTTGATACATGCATCTTCCTTAGAAACTATTCTAATTTCTGTTTACTATGCATACTCATGCAAAGAAATATTTATTACTAAAGGGCCATATGTCCTCAGTCTCTACCTTAAGCATTAACAAGTTTCCTCTGTCTTGAATGTCTTGCAGTAAGATGAATAGCAGCATGTTAGAAATCCTTCTGCTTACAGCCTTCCTCAATATGTAGTCTATGGCCTCCAGTAGTCATCAAATTGAGAAGTCTGGCATCATATATGTCAGAGTAGCTTTAGCAGAAGGTCTAATGAAGTTTGATATGATATCCTAAAACAACTACTTTTCTGAGGTATGCAATTTAGCAGAAGGTCTAATGAAGTTTGATATGATATCCTAAAACAACTACTTTTCTGAGGTATGCAATTAAGTGCAAATATTTCTGTTTTTTTCACTACCTGAGTTGATACTGAAAAATCCCTACTTTTGTTATAGAAACAAGAATTAGTAAGAGATGTCCATAAGGCTATGAAAATGTCATCTGACCTCAAGCCAAAAAAACCTTATGACAAATAAGTGTCTGGGCACTTCTGAGCTGTACTCTAGAATTGTACAGGAAATCTCGGTCATCAAAGGACTGACTTGTGATTTTACAGATCAGATTGTTTGACCTCAATAGTTTAAATTTCCTTTCTTTTGCAAGACAGCCAACTTCAAGCTTTTCAACTTACAACACACTTTCCTTAGCAGCAGAATTGTTCCTGACAAATGATCTGTTATTATACATGCAATTCCTAGGTCCTTAGGATATGCTATAAATATATAAATACTCATCAGTTAATTGTCTGAAGCCTTCAACTTATTTCTTTTACACCTCTCATGTGTCGATAAAACATAAATTTTTGAAATCAGCCCTGACATAATAGTGAAATGTTTCATAATTTTCTAAGTCATCTTTCTACCCTGCGTTCAGTGGGAGTGCATTATATAAGTAATATTTTATCTGTTCCCATCTGTAATATAGTCAGTCTGATTTATTTTACAGGTTTGCTATAACTGCTTCAGAATACAAAGTCTTGGACTGCAAAGATAAAATACTATATAGTATACTACACTGTGGCTTATTGGCAATGCTGCCTGAGAAGTGTCCCAATACATCCAGAGGGCATGATGTTGAAGAAGGCTGCCCTGTGGAATATCCACCTATATTATTTAACACTCTCCAAATATTATATTCCAAAACACTGATCAAAAAAACCTTTGCAATGTACTCATGAAATAACACTTAATAAGATCATTATTAATAAATGTCAATAATTCTCTGGCTAGCAGTACCTATGATTTTGACCTTCAAAAACCCTTCGTAGCTTTGGGATACCATATCAGAATGCCTCTTAACATATGTGCTACCCTGTTTCCCAAAGACCTACCCCAAAAATAAGCCCTAGGTTGATTTTTTGGGGGTGGGCCTAAGCCCTACCCCAAAAATAAGCCCTAGTTTTGGGGCAAGGCATATGCCTAAAAATCAAGCTAGGGTGGGCATAGGGGGTAGGGAGCTGCCCCCCCCCCGCTTGCTTACCATTGCAGCCAGGCATCCCATGAATCGATACTTGCCTTGCCGGGCCACTTCTGCGGCTGCTCACCGCCACTCATGTGTATTGCCCCTGGCCTCCATTTTGCCATCAGAGGCCTTCAGAAAATGCCTCTGAAGCTGAAAATGGAGCTTCGGATTGATGTGCACAGCACCCCGTCCTGCATTTTGCTGTCAGAGGCCCTCTGGAAAGGCCTCTGCAGCTGAGAACCGAGCTATAGATTAAATCCATAACTCGATTCTCGGCTGAAGAGGCCTTTCTGGAAGGCCTCTGATGGCATACATGTCAATTCTCAGCTGCAGAGGCATTTCCTAAAGCCTCTGGCAGCAAAATGGAGGCCGGGAGCGATGCACTTGAGCAGTGGCAAGTAGCCACAGACAAAATGGGCCAGCTGGGCGGGGCTGTTGATGCTGCCACTGTGAGGTGAGACTATGGAAAAAGACACCTCCCCCCTGAAAATAAGACCTGGTGCCTCTTTTGGAGGCAAAAAAACAAAACAAAAACCCGGGTCTTATTTTCGGGAAAACATGGTAATCAACTTCTAGAATTAGAGCTATAGTTCCTCAGGAACAACCTTCTTCTGTGGCAGTCTCCCAACTGATGAATGTCTCAATTGTAGAGAGATCCACCAAATACCTACCTTGTAGGACTATTTCAATTTAGATTTTAAAACTAAAATTTAGAATAATCTATTGCCCAGATGGGTTTATTTTTTCAGTCCTCTGGAGATATTGATCACATTTCAAATATAATTTCTGAAACATCAGTTAACATGTTAGTCATTGCAGCAAAACAAAACAAAACTTGCAGCAAGTTTAAAATTAAGAGATTTATTATAGCATTAAATTTCTTCACTGTATGCTATAGTAACAAAGTAAAATAAAGATGCCTTCTAATCAAGCTTAACTCCTTGTTTCTAGGTGGATATAGAGATAAAATTTTCTTGGTGCAAATACATTACAGTATTTTCTTCCAGGACCTTGGGTTTTTTGTTTTTATTTCCAGTATGCCTATAGGCTTAGGATTCTTTGAGATTTTCCCATTAAAGCATTAACCAGACCCAAACCTGTTTAGTTTCTGAACCCAAAGAAGATAAACCAATTGCTCCCACCTGGTGAGATCTATCACAATGAAAGCCTTCATTTTTGAGATGCTACAGGAATCTTTATTGCTTTTTATGCCTTCCACCAAGTATGCCATCTACTTGAACCCTGTATGAAATCCTAAATCAATAGCTATTGCAGTTACAAGCATTTCAGATAAATATTCCACTATTATGTTGTATTGCTTTCTTGAGCCATTAGGCCCCTAAAAGCACCAAAAACAAACACAAATCCAGCACTGCAAATTTCTAATTGGCATTTGAGATATTTTATGTGGATTATTAAGACTCTGCTGCCTTATAAAAAAGGAGGGGATTTGAAAGGCTTGGTATAAGACTAATTATAGAATTTACTATATTTAATTCTAATTAAAGTCTGGGTCCTTGAAATTTTATCCCTATTTTTTTAGACATTTAGTTAATGCTTTAGCTGTTAAAACAAAGCCTTTGGAATCAGAACAGCTCTAGAGAAAAGTTGATAGTATATTGCAACATGTACTAAAGAACTTTAAATTACAGATTGAATTGCCATATTAATGTGGAACTACTAGCCGAATGTCCAGTTCTACATACAGTATGTCATAACTTGATTCTCTGTGACTTTAAGAATAAAATCTTATTACCCAAACACAAATGTCACAATTCATGCATTAGATCCTCATATAAATCTTTGAAGCACAAAAGTTCAGATTACAGGCCTGATTCTGTGTATTCAAATATTCTCAAATTATTTACCGGAAGTACAATGCATCAATTTGAGCACAGCATATGAGACATGGTTCTGCCAATGGGCCCAGGGACCCCAGTGATATGGACCCATCAAGTAGCTGGTCTGATTGCTGTCACCAGGGAGGTGGGGATTTATTGGCTTTTTCACTGGGGTTTTATCTTCATAAACTTACTGTAAGTGAATTGAGTGACCTAATTTTTCTAAATAAATAAATCAGCCTCCACTTCAGGATGAGAGGGGGACCCTAACTTAAATTGCTTTAAAAACAAGTAAGCTTCTCAATGTTTACTGGACATTAAACCAGAAGCAGCTTGCCTCTTAGTACCAATCTATGGGAAATATGGGTGGAAGAACACTTAATACTTAAATTCTGCTATTGACTGGCTACTGTGAGACAAAAAGTAAAAGTTAGTTTTAGCTCTTTCAGACCCAGTGCTTTTTTAAAATGCTGCCTAGGGAATTATGGAAGTTGGGGATTTAATAGACTCACGCAGATTAGAGAAGGCAGATTAAGACAGACTTTGTATATGATGAGGCATAATTTTTTATGAATTGTATTTGATGCTTCTCAGATGTGCAGTCATTAAGGGAGTGAGTCATGGACTGCATAACCATTTCCCAAGTATATTTTGACTAAATCTTTGATTCTAGTAGCATCATGACTATGAATGTCTTCATTTAAAGCAGTCTGGCACAATAAATATTAGGCTAATTCTCTGAGAGATATTGTTTAGGGGGCCCACACCATTATATGTTAAAAGAAGACAAATTGCAAGAATCAATGGCAATTCACAGTTCTGGATGCAAAAGCAATAGTTTAGGATTCCCTCATTTTGCTCCCCTTGCCTCCACGTAGATGTGTCCCAAAGAAGGGAGAAACACATTCTTCCTAGACTTCTATACTCTCAAATTATTCAATCATTCCTTGCAAATGTTTCAGTTCAAAGGACTTCTTTAGAGACAGAAAGCAATGGGCTGCGATAAACAGACAAGATGCCTTTCTACCAAATTAGATGATGCCATTATTCACCAATCAGAGGCAGCAGTTCTGGTTGCCCATTCACCAATGAGAAAACAACAGGCAACTCAAAAGTCAGCCCAGGCATGGGGTAGTGCAAACAGCTACTGTTTTCACTGTAAGGGCAGAGTCAGATCATCACATTAACAGAGCTGTTTGTAATGTCTTTTAATGACAGCAGAGAAAACAAGAGGGGGAAGCAGGTTCATTCTCAAAGCTCTGTAGCAAGACAGCAAATGAGGCGATTAGTAGAAGCTGCTGTAGTGAGACTTCTCAACAGAATCTTTGAATAATTCAATATGTGCAAGTGAGCATAAAAACAACTAAAGCTTTAGACTCTAAGCTGGATTTATTTTTAAATCCACACTAAGCTGGACTTATTTTTTCTTCTTCAACGCAGCCCTTGTCTGGTTCTATTGGATCAGAAAGGTACTTACCTGTCCAGCAGTGTCATAAAGCCCAAGAAGGTATTGCTTGCCCCCAACTGTCACACTGACTGCAAAAAGAAAGAGAGGATGAAGTGGGGAAGGAGGATCAGTATATTTGGTCTTTTCTCTCTAGAAGAGGACAAGCAAAGGATCAATTTCAATCACTCACCATAATTCAGTGGAAAAATGGGGGAGGAGGGATGGAGAAGGGGAATCAGGCATTGAAAATACAAAAATATACACACACTGCTAGTTTCTTTGATAGCACGAAAGATTACAGAAACACTTTTTCAATCCAGCATCCAGTAAAGATGTCCATGTGAGTGCATGTTTCCCAGTCCCCATTAACACGCATGTGCTCACAAGATCAAACTACTGCAACTGATCAAAGTGTGCCTAAAAAAATATTTCTGGTTTTTGTTATTATATGCAGGGTCCTATTTAGTATGACTAAAGATCTTTTCTGCTAATAAAATAACTTTTACCACTTTGCTCTCTCTTCCAGGGGCTTTGTCATTGGGGAGAGGGCAGGCGGAATACTTCTGGTTCATAACAAAGCTGAATACAGTTGAAAGATCCCATCACTTTTCCCTTTCCGTTTCCCACCTGCCATAACTAACCCAACAACCTTAATGCAGAGAGGGGAAGCCCTCCAAGGGAGGTGGGGGTGGAGGACGCTGTAAATAAGCCATTTTGAGGAGCTGCTACAAACTGTCCTAGGAGCAAAAGACAATTCAAGCCATTATAAATTCCAGCTTGACTTTCCCTAACTCGCTGCCCAGATATTCTCAAAACTCATTTGACAGCGTTAAACATCTGGAAGAATCCCAGTTGGGAAAGGCTGAGCCGGGTTTTCATTGAAGGGCGGTAAATGAGGAGAAATGAGAAGAGAAAGGAGGAGAGAGGAAAATGCGGAGGGGGAGAGCAAAGTTTTTGCTTAAGTTCCTGCTTTGCTGCTTTTCCTGCTGAAGGGGTGGGAGCAAGCGAGAGAGCCGGGGAGAAGCAATGGGGGGCAGGGGGGCGGGAAAAGGTGACAGGGAAACACTTACTCAGCACTTGCAAACAAGACACCATTGGTCCCTCCCCCCTTACCTGCGTAATGGTCAAAGACTGTGGGCACATACTCCTCCGGGAAGGCGTCGTTGGCATAGCTCATGAGCAGGCAAGTTTTGCCCACCGCTCCGTCGCCGATCACCACGCACTTCAGCATGACTGTCGCCGCCGCCCCCGTCCCGTTGGCCATGATGAGGTTTCCGAGCCGATCGTCATTTTAGACAGAGGGAAAGCCGAGCAGGGAAAAGGGAGGGGGAGAAGAGGATTGGGAGGGCCGTTCACGCGCCGAGTCGGAAAAGGCGCCGCTCCTTCGGTGGCATTTCGAGCTCAGCCACTCCGGAGTTGGGCAGCGTCAGACTGCGCCTGGCAGCAGAGCTTGGCTGGCTCGCCCGTTTCAGCAGGCGCCACAAATCACTGAAGATGGCATTTCTTCTCCCTCGCCGTGGTCGAAGTCCTTCTCCTCCTCCTCCAGTGCCAAATTTGGCTGGCAGGGATTTTCCTCCCCTGCTCTCGCCCCAGTTAGGCGCGATGACACAGGCTTTCATAAGACCAGCAGCGGCAGCAGCAGCAGGCTTGGAAGAGGAACTTAGAGCAGCAAAACCCGCACCGAGACGGGCACCACTTTCGTCCAGCTCCTCCTCCTCTTTCCCCTCCTCTTAGAATCCAAACTGCTTCGCATGTGCTGGGTAAGCCCTCCTCCCGCCCTCCCTCCGTTGCTTTCCGAAGGGAGGAGGAAAAGAAGAAGGCCCAGACTACCTTCCAGAGCGAGGCTGGGAGTGGGATTCTGCTTTACTTTCCTTCTGTTCCCTTCTCTCTCCCCTCCCCTCCCCTCCCCTTCCTTGGCTTCAGGCGCCACTTTTCCAACACGCGCAGAAAGCAGGAAAATAGCGGGGCAGCCCCACCACCTCCGCCTCGCTCGGGAGGAGAAAGGCGGAGCGAAGCCAAATTCTGTACTGTAGTTCAGTTGAGGGCTCCTCTCCAAAGAGCCCGCAGCGCCGGGAAACGTCGACGGCTTTTGCAAAGTGCCTTCCTGGTTTGAGCGATGATGTAAATAATCAAGATATAGTAATAATTGAATGTGATTCAGGGCTCCCTCCTCCCAATTCCTAGAGGCAGAGTATTATCTTTTGCACTTTCTATTAGTAAAGTGTTTTAGAAATCATCCTTGATTGTGAATGACGAACTGCTCCTAAAATTATTTCCTTCTATTGGTTAAGTGCAGAAGGGAAGGTGGGGGTGTCATGTAACTTTATATGTATTTGGAAGTACTTTTAAAAAATTGAACACTGGGATATAACTATGATTGGGAAAATATCTATCAATGTCAATTTAAAATTCTTTAGATAGCATCAGCAAAAAAGAATTGATGTTAGCAAAGTTGTTCTATTTTTGTATACTGTATTAACTTTTCATATTTTATGCTAACTCAAACATCTATTTTCATAACAGCACTGTGTGATAAAATCAGTCTGTGAGATAGGTCACCGAGGAATCTTTATTGCTAAGCAGAAAATCTAAGGCAGCTTTCTTCCAAAGTGATACCATCTAATATAGCAGGCAAAGGGGTGGAGGTGATGATAATAATAACTGAACACATCAATTTATAGGTATAGTATAATAAACTATAGTATAGATAACACAACAATATATTAATAATTTTACATTGCCCCATCAGGCAACTCTAGGCTATTAACAGAAGAATCCTAAATAGCAATCTCCCAGAAAATAATTCAAAACTTTAATTGAATCAGATTAAAATAAATGCAGATGTTCACCATTCATATGAAAGTTGAAAATTTGCCAAAAGACTGCTTAAAAAGAAAAGATTTTTTTAAAGGTTTTTCTGAAAGTCAGAAGTAAGAAGGCTAAGTATGAATCTGGATTCAATGTATTTTCAATGTATTGAAAAACTCTGCTTTTCTTTCTCATATCCTCTTACTTCAAGTGGAGATCCTAAGTATGTCTTTTCTAGATGGCCTGACATACATTATACACAAGACAGTGATAACACAAAGTAACACATCTGGGAGCCCTCAGGTTGGGAAAGGCTGCTTTTTTCAAAATCTCTAAGATCCAATTTCATCATTCAGCCCATTATTTTTTAAAAATTTAAAAGATACAACCTTTATATTAGGGATCTCTCAACAACCAGGCTATAGTATCATTGGTCCAGCATCAACTTGTCATCTTCATGGTTAAGAAGGAAATGGATCTTTAGTCTAGTGCTTCCCAGTCTTGGTAACTTCCAAATAAGTTGACTTAACCTCCAAGAATTTCCCAGACAAGCATGGCCATTGCAGAAAGTTCCAGGAGTTAAAGTACTTTTCGGATTGTTTGATGACATGAAACAGTGCGGTGACTAAATTTAACATACAGGAACAATATTTTTAATCTCCTCTTACGTGCCAGTCTACAAGTCTCTCAACTCCTTGACTTGAAGAAAATTGAAAATAGTGGCATTCATTAAAGCATGTATTCAAGGATGGCATCTAGAATCATGATTGTGAGCATGTGCTCTTTGCTGTTTTATCAAAAAGCAAGATATTTGGGCTAATTAGTAGCAGAACTCTTCTTAGAAATGCTAAGAACTAATGAAAGCAAAAACATTCCTAAAAAGAAGTATAAACAACCTACCTTGCTTTAGGTTCCTGAAAAAACACTAGAACAAAAAAAAGCAAACCTTCACTAACTTATCTAAATACTTCCTTTGTCCACATTTAGACTTTCTAAAATAATCTCTTTCCTTCCCCCTTATTAACCCAATGGTGTCATTCCCCATCCCAAAGGCATAGAAAAGAGTTTTTAAGCCATTAAGGAACATTAATATTCTTTGTTTAATTCCTGACCATCCATCGGTTGCCTAGCGATAGACTGTTTCACAGTAATCAGAATGACCAAACTCGTAACAGTGTTAAGAGCAAGCTCATGGGGTAAAATGGATATAGTTTGCATAGTGGAGAATGGGCTAAACTGTTATATACCTTGCAATGTCTAAACTTACAGTAACATTTAAATAATGAAACAGAAGTAAGGGACACAACAAAAGTATTAAAAGTTTTCAAAGCTAAGGAAAATAAGAGAAGGAAGTGGCATTGTAATAGCAGTATAGGTAGTCCTTGAGTTACAACTGGTCATTTATTGACTGTATGATAACAGACCCCTCCCCTCCCAAAGCTGATTTTGAAGTTACAATGGCCACCCCTACACATGCGGTCATATGATTGAATTTTGGCAACCAATTCACATTTACAGCTGTATAGTGTCCCAAAGTCACATGACTACAATTTTTGATATATTCTTTTTGCTGGTTTCTGGAATTTAATTCCAGTTTCACTGGGGAAAATGAATTTGTTTAACAACTACTGCAAAAAAAAAAATGTCATAAAAACAGGTTCAGTCACAGTAACTCGCTTAATGACTGCAATGACTATAATTCCATATTCATTTGCAATCATAAGTCAAGAACTACCTGTAAAAGAGAACATTTTACGTGCATGTTGAGCTGAAAATTTATTGCTGGATGCAATAAAAAGCACCATACAATGGAAGTGAAGCATGCATCAAAATAAATGGAATTCTTAACAAATAAGAGAAAGTTATAGTTGGACAGAATCAATGAGAATCTCAAAAAGAAAAGGGAGAATTTTAATATACAAAGGCAATGTACAAATAAATGTATGGATGCAGTGGAAGAAGGATAGTTTACAAGGATAGAAAGGTATGATGCGGTACAGGGAACGGTGTTGGAGTAAATAATTTTGATGATGTTTCCTTTTCTTTTATGTGTCAGGCCTTTAATTCTATTGGTTACTGTTTTTTTTTCTCCTTTTTCCCTTTTGCATAATGTTAGGTAAACAGTATGATGATATGCATGAATGTGTGTACATATGTACCAACAAACCTCCTGGTAGGTCATTTGCAGATCACGTGCTTTTGTTCAGAAATATTAGTAGAATTTGACAGTTTGGTCAGAATGAAGAATACTAATGTTATTATGCAAAAACTCCATTTCTTCCATACACATGTAAAACATTGCAACACACATACAAAAGATCTGGGGCTTGTATCATGAAAGTCATTTTGCTGTTTGCCTCTTATCCTCTGCTCTTTTTTAAGAAGAGACTGGACAGCCATTTGTCTGAAATGGTATAGGGTTTCTTGCCTGAGCAGGGGGTTGGACGATGACCTCCAAGATCTCTTCCAACTTTTTTATTATTATTATTATTATTATTATTATTATTATTATTATTATTATTATTATTATTATTATTATTATTATTATTATTATCAATCATCATCATCATCATCATCATCGTCATCATTATAAATGAACTGTTGTAAGTCGAGGATTACCTGTATCTTCTTTGTGGTCTCCAGAACTTCAGAATGGATGTGGCCTAAATTTCCAGACTTATTTTTTGCATTTTTAGATTTTAAAATTTACAATAGTTGCCGTAACCTTTGGAGAACCTCAAGGCATCCATTGGGCCCCTAAAGCCCCCATGGTTTAAAAGTTGTGTTGCTGAAACACTTATAGACAGCACTCTTCCACCTGCATATGTAAATTACTTCCAGTTATTACAGGGTAAGCTGTTGTTTTTAAAAAGAGAATTTAAAATCTGGCTTTCAAATAACAAAAGCTAAGAACAGTTGCATAGAAAATATAATTATTGTAGTTTGATCCAACACTTTTTTATGACATGATCTGCACAAAAGGGCCACCTTACTAGGCTCTCTACATGACTCACTTCCAAACCAAGACAGATAAATCATAGTGCCTTAGTTATCACCTCAAAGGATGTATAAATCTGATGGAACCAGCACTCATTAATGAATTAATTATCACAATCATGTCTGTTGTGTAAGAGAATTAGAAAATTAGCAAAACATTTGACAACATTAAATATATTGTTTCAATGGAACAATAAACTAAAAAGTATGTGTCGTCCTCAGGAATAGAAACAAGGCCTGAATGCATATGATGCAGCCACCTTGCTGCAGCTAAGTAGTTCTGAGTGAGAGCTTAGAGGCTCTATGTGGGAACCTACTATAATATCTTGATTTTCATTTGGTAAATAAATAAGGCTGACATTTACCTATGGCAGATAGTGGTTGGTGATAGTATCAGGAGTCTGGCAAGCTCTAAAATTTTGTAAGGACCATGACAGAAGACATCCTTAGCATGTAGGAAATCTTAGGGCAGTCTCCAGCATCTCTGCTTAAAAAGAACAGAGTCAAAAAGAAACTTCTATGCCCGAAAGCCTGGAAGCTGCCATCTGCCAAACCAGAGAGCTTGCTTAAAAGAATAAATAATCTGATCAGATGCAAAGCAACTTTCTAAAACATGTCCAGAGACAGGATGAGGATATTGTGGTTTCCCAGTGTTGTTTAATTATAATTTACAGAAGCTCCTGCCAGCATGGCCACTAGCAAGGGATACCAAATGTTGTATTTCAACAAGGGGTCCTTGGTGCTCTCTGAGCTTGATTGTTTTCTTGCAGATGTTTCATTACTCAAACTAGGTAACATCATCAGTGCTATTGATGATGACTAGCACTGATAATGTTACCCAGTGCTTTAAAAAAAAAAGGTGCCAGAATTCACACACGTTATACAACCTGCCTTGCGTACCCTACAAGGTTCCAACCAAAAAAGGTGCCGGAATTCCGTTCTGGGCATTCTATGAGAAAAAAAGCCCCGATGTTACCTAGTTTTGGTAATGGAATGTCTACAAGAAAACCCAAATTTCTCCTTAATTCCAGGTTGCTTCTCTCTTTGGTCAGCTTCCAACCATTGTTTCTTGTCCTTCCCTCTGGCGCTTTGGAGAATAATTTGACCCCCTTTTCTTGGTGGCAGCTCCTCAAATACTGGAACACTGCTATCATGTCTCCCCTATTTCTTCTTTCATGTGATCCCCTTTTGCAACTTTCTGATAAGCAAAGTCAATGGGGAATCCAGATTCACTTAACAACCATGTTACTAACTTAACACTTGCAGTGATTCACTTTACAACTGTGGCAAGAAAGTTTGTCAAATGGGGCAAAACTTAACAAATGTCTCACTTAGAAACATAAGTTTTGGGCTCAATTGTGATCGTAGGTCAAGGGCTACCTAGATAACATTTATCAACAAGTTCAACCCTTACACGCATACACAGCAGAGAATAGTTTTGAGGGGTCCTTGGTGCAAGAAAACAATCAAGCACGAAGGACCCCTTATTTCAACCCAGAGCTACAAAATATCCTTTATTGGAGAATAGTTTTACAATCTGTATGTTAAAAGACCTCCAGTAATGGTACACCCAATTAAAGCTCTGCACAAATGTCTTCCAGTGCAATTAACAAAATGGTATGTGTTACTCCCTTGACTGCTTATTTTGTTTTTCTGCCTTTTATAGTGAAAAGAACTTGCAGCGTAAGGAAGAAAAGTTCCAAAAGCTAGTCAAACTCACAATTAGCAGAGAGATTGATAAAGGTTTTGAACCTGCCAACTTCTAGTCCTAGTGCAGAAAATACCACAGTTTGGCATACATTTGCTTTTTTACACAAACACACACACACACACCCAGATGCGATTTGATATGTTCACACTGCACATTTCATCTAAAGTATACTTAATTAACAATTTTTATTTGAAACAGCAGGTTTTATATTTGACTAATGGTAATGGATTCATTCTTCTTTTTGAAATAATTTCTGGTATTTTATTAATTTCAGGAATAGTATATAGTACCATTTGCAAATTGCCTTTTGTCCAAACATTATTACTATTGTCTCTTTTCCTGAAGGGACCAAAGATGAATGAGCTAAATTACTTGCTAAGCCATTCATGCCTTCCAAAGGACCTATTCTCACGCAGACATTAATTAGGATCAGTGCTGATAAATAACTTCCTTTTAAAGAAAAAATTTAAGAAAAATTCACAAAAGAACTGTTGTTTTTCAGCACATAGCCTTAAACTCATATATAGAGGTGGAGTAAGATGAGGCCACATTAGCATCTTCATCAAATGCTTTTTTACTCTAAAGAAAATTACTGAAAGGTAAATTTGTGATATATTCAGATTCAAATAACAGATTAAAGATACAACATGATGGAAGGAACCTACCATGGTTAATGTATTTGCAAATAGCTGAAAAGATAAAAAAGCAATCTTAAAAAGGAGGATCCTTGAGAAAGAGGACAGAATTTAGAGTACATACACAAAATCAAAGTCACTTATTAGATATGTGTCTGTACTGTTATTGAAATATGATATGGAGACGAATTAAACACTGCATGAAAAAATGAATGCAATTTTTTAAAGAAATATCACAATGGATCAATGGGAAAAGTTATAGGGAAAATTAGTAAAATTTATTCTAAGCTACAATTTAAAGGAAAATTAATATAAAAAGTTTTATAGATGATATACAATTATTGCTAAAACGAATCAATCATGTAACAATAGATGCTGGAAATGCCATAACAAGTAAGGAATATATTATCATATGTCATGCAAAAAATAAAAACATCAAAATCAAAACTACTGTAAATAAATGCATCAAAATATTCAAGGAATTTTGAAAGTAAAATGGGAATGATTCCAGAGTGCATAAATATAATATACTGACATGTACATTGGCATTAGAAAAAAAAAATAATCTAGCACAACATTGGAAAAGAAAAACCCTGCTGATGATACAAAATTGGGAGACCAAAAATGAGAGAATATGTGGCAATGGAGGAATATACAACCAGACAAGAATATGGCTTTTGGAAAGAAGAGAGAAATTGATTAAACAAATAAAAGACTAGGATATAAGCAATAACCATTAAACTCTGAAGCAAAGTATACATTAAATATCTAATAGTGGTTAGGGAAAAGAAAAATGCAAGGAAGGAGAAATGCTTTTTATTACCAAGTTTTGTCATTATGCAATATCTTATTTCTTGCATCTGTATTTTTGACAAGTACATAAACTTTATTACAGCTAAAGACTAGCAGATCTCGAATTTTGATCTTTTACTTTTGTATGATGCTGACATAATAATACAACTAATTAATTAAATAGTGAAGGCAGGGGAATAAGGGGATCAGATGAACAGCTCATTTCCCAGTCCAAGGCTTTTTCATGCACCAGGAAATAAACTGTGGAAATATGTGAGAACATATGTTCTTGCCTAATTGAAGAAATCTTTCAGGAGGCTACAGAGGGATCTGGAATCTGAACATGATTTCCTTCAGGTCCTTGTCCTAAAGACACATTTTGGATCATTACTATAACATTTATTTCATGTTTAAAAACAGAAGCTGCTAATTTAATGACAATTGGTAGAGGTAACGAACATCAGATATTCAATCTTATATTTGGGGAGATTGACAGCAACAGTTACACTGATTAAGAGTAAACACGTAAATATGGGAGTGAAGACCTATTAGTGGTAACATCAGAGGCAAGTTATTGAAGATACTCTTTTCCAGTTGCTAACATGCTAACCCAAGAGAAATTAACTCTCATTTGGGGAGGGGGGATGGAATTAAACGTCTGAAACAATAATACAGAAAATTCATCCAACTGAAGTCTGTTCACAGATCACTTTAATAGCCATGATTAGTAAGCTTAAAATTGTACCAATGAATTAATTACTGCTTTTATTTAATTCATGAATGCCAAAATTTTTCATTATTAGGAAAACAAACAACAGAGAATCCAGTGTTTACACTACTGAAGGGTTAGCTCCTGTATGTTGTACTGGCTGAAAGGGGACAGGAAGAATGATTTGTTTATATATATTGATTAAAATATGGACTGTAATGCAATTGAATCTGTTAATGTGCATTGAACACTATCAGACAATCCACACAGTTTAGTCCTAAGTTTCTTTAAGCATTATGTCAGAAGTATAGCCTCAGTGTCAGTGTTAACAACTTCCTGAGGAAATTTGGCTTCCTGACATTATTTTCCCCACACCTTTTTGCCACAAGGTTGAGGATCTGATAAAATGATCTGTTATTAAAGAGGCATGAGATGACTGAATCTCTAGGGGAGTCCATGACAGTTACAGTTGGCAATATTCTTGAGATCTTTGTCTTACTATAGAAATATGTGACAAGGTGGATCATTGGTCTGATCACTAAATGCTCCCTAAAGTTCAAAAGGATCCATGGTTTTTTGCAGGTTTTCTAGCTAT